AATCTGCAGGTAGGACTAGAAGCAAGGAGGCTGGCTTTGGGTGGTACCTGACTCTGTGTCACCTAGGGCAACTTGCTTCATCTCCAACCAAAGAAGGAAGGCTAGTAGTACTTACTCCCTTCAGTTGAATGAAATGAAGATTACTTAAAGTGATGAAGTGCTGTGAAGTTGGGGAAATAAAAGTTTTAAAGCATTAAGTAACAGGAATTGCAGTAAGTGTAGGGAGGCAGACTGAGAGATTTGGCACTCTGCAATTCTCTAGTACTTCTCCTTGGTACCGTGCACTGCTCTGTTAGACAGCCTCACTTTTCCTGCCCTTGAGGAATTGTTTTTAAAGGAACAAGCAATCCTGCTGGAATACTCATTATTCTGTTGGGGACAACACAATAGTTTGTTTTGCTTGTGTTTGTTGCTATCTTCAAAGCTGTGGTGGTCTGTATCACCCAGGAAGATACCAGGAAGAATGAGCCCCTGTGCCTTCCTGGAGCCTTTTCAACAAGCCACTGCTTTAATGTGGTGTAATGTACCACCTAGGGCCAAAATCAGAAACTACACTGCTGTCTGGAACATTTCACTTGCAAAAGAAATGTGTGTATTTGTGTGTGTGTATGTTTTTGTATAAAAATAAAATTGAAATCTGTGTTTTAGAAAAAATCTGTTAATCTGTGTTAATAGGAAAAGAGGGACCTTAATAATTGTAATGCATTTTAGAAAGTGCAAAACTTACTTTTGTTTCTCAGAAAACATAATTTCAGGCAGAGTTCTATTTTGCAGAAACTTAATAGTGGAGAAAGCCTGTAAATCTCCTTAACAGTCAGCAAAAAAAAGAAAAGTTTGGATTATATGGGATTACCACGGTTTAACCCCAGCTGGCAACTAAGCACCACACAGCCACTTGCTCCCAGCAGGCTGGAGTAAAGAATTGGGAGAGTAAAAGTGAGCACTTGTGGGCTGAGATCAAGACAGGTTCATAGGGAGAGCAAAACAAGGAGTTTATTCCCCACTGCCCAGGGACAGGCATGTGTCCATCCATTTCCAGGGCATCAGTGCTCCATGGTGTGTAACAGTGACTTGTGAAGACAAATGCTGTTGCACCCAAAGTCCCCTTTCCATTCTTCCCCTGGCTCTGCGTACTGATCGTGATGCCATACGCTCTGGAATGTCCCTTTGGTCAGTGGGGTCAGCTGTCTGGGCTGTGTCCCCTCCCAGCTCCTTGTGCACCCCCAGCCTCCTTGCTGGTGGGCTGAGGTGAGGAGCAGAAAAGGCCCTGACTATGTCTGAACACCATTCAGTAATAATGAAAATATCCCTGGGTTATCAATACTCTATTCCTCACAAATCCAAGACAGGGCCCTGTGTTTGCTACTATGAAGGAAGTTAACTTTAAGCCAGCTATAACAAGCACAGGGATCCTTTTGCTTTATTGTAGTTTGAGGAGAACTTTTTGTTGAGTGTAAATTTTTACCTATAATTTCTCCTGAGTTAAAAATCGTTCTTCTGGTAAATGTTGTTCCTGCTGGCTCAGCTGACTGATGCTCAGTTGAGGCAGTTGGATTATACTGTGTCCTCCAGTGTTTAAAAATGTCCTCAAAAAGTCATATTCTTACACTGTTTAATTCTAGAGGCTCTAAAGCTTTGTAAAATATGAAATAGCAAATTATCCTAGGCTTATGGATATTGAGTTAAATAATCATCACCATGAGATAATTAAGCAATCACTCAGCTGGATTTATTAAGTGATGCTGCTATTTCAAAACCTAATCACAAAGTTAATTTCTGTAAATTACGGTGAAACCCAAAAATGGCAATGGTCAGAAAAAGACATAGGTGGATCCCTAAGATTTTTCTTGCTTGGTGTTATTGATAGGTGCTAGGATTTTCATTCCAAAGCCCAACAATGTTAAAAATGAATACACTATAGGGAATGAATGCATAAGCTTTCTGTCCTTGTTCCTTTTAAGTATTGAAGCTCATGCCTGAAGTCTCTTGAACAAGGAGCACATTTAGGTGGCCTAGCTATTGACAGTCTATAAGAAGCAGATAAATGAGGTACTGCCCTCATCAAAATGTGGGTAAATTGCATTTGCTCAGCTTTAGCCTTGTTTGCACATACCTGATAACTATTTGTACAAATCCCTAATATAGGTACAAATGGTGTCAGTTCTCATCTGATTTTTGCTGATATGAGTACAGGGGAAGCATTTTAGCTTTCAAAGGAAGGTCTGTAAGCAGAGGGACAAGCAGAGAGCAAGAACTAACAGTTTCTCTCAGTATAAGTCACCCCAGGTTGGTCAGGGTGGTCCCAGCATATTATTTCCTAAATCTGCATCTCGGGGTGGAGGGGTGGAGTCATGGGGATATTTTTCTTCTGCAGCACTTCCATCTCATCTCCACATCTTCCACATGTTTCCATCACCCTAAGATCAGTGGAGTTGGTGGGCACCAACTCTAGCATTAGGTGGTATCTACTTAATGCTGGGAAAAGGGAGTTTCCCTTAAATGAAGAGAAAGGTAGGTAGTAAGTCTCCTGTGGTCGATGCAGTGATTTCAGGAGTGCAGAAATTCTGTGTTGGATCTGTTAGTCTGACCTCGGTGAGGAGAGAATTCTGTGCTGTGTCACTGGACCAACTATAATAAGGTTGGTCTACACGTGTGTGAGCCTGGTATTTTCCAAGTGTGGGCATGCTGAGCACATGTTACCCAGCCATCTGCTTGGGGAGTTCTTCTGGCTCCTGGGATAGAGATCTTGCTGGGGGTTAGCTCTGCCAAATTATTTATTCAGTCTGCTGCTCTCTCTGGGGGAAAGTGTAGGGAAGGGAGGAGCTACAGGTGAACTGTGGGACATACTGTCACAGGAACGACAGTGCTACATATCCTTGCATTCTAAGGATCTCACAGCCTCAGGGTTCAGCTGCATCCCAAGCTGTTTGCCTTCTCAAGTAGTTATCCCAGAGTGGAGAGAGCTTTGGGGCCCTTGGTCTCATCTTGGTGTGACTATCCCAGTGCCCTGGTTACATTCAGTGGGGTCCCTGTAGCAGCTGCAGTGCTCCAGGCAGGACCTTGAGCAGGCCTGATGCCCGAGTCCTTCTGGGATTCAGGCATCAGCAGTGGAGGCAACAGGAAACTCCTCTCTTCTAACAAGTTATTTCTGTTAGGCATGGCTGGTAGCAGATCTGGGAGTCTTGGCTCAGTGAGCACGTCCTGTTCCATCTCCGTTCAAGGAATTTTTCTCCATATGCTGCACCATCTCTCTCAGCTCATCTTACCCTCTTGCCTTTGGGGAGATGGGCCCTAGGATGGAAGTCATTTCCACATCCTCATCAGCAGCTCCTTTTCATAAGGGAGTATAAGTAATATGAGTGGTGGAGGTAGATTTTATTTCTTTCTTGGTGTGTTGGTTTTTCCTTTTTTACTCTCTTCTGAGCCTGTAACTCAGGAGCAGTTAATTGAGAACTTTAGCTTTGACTAATGTGTTTTGCAAATAGTTGCAATGGATTTGGAGCCCGTTGGGTCAACTGCTGAGCACCTGATTGCCTTTAATTGTGCAAACATACCCTGAGATATTTCAAAATGAGGGCACCTGGGTGCTGAAGGAATGGAAAGGAATGCATGCACAAGTGTGTATACACATGTATGTGTATACTTGCACAGTTACAATTTCTTCAACTGATAGAACCGCATCTAGGCACTGAAATAAGTGAATCTGCATAAGATCTGTCTTTCATGTCTTTGCAAAGGGGAATACTTGGGGAAGTTGTAAATAATTGCAATTGTCAGCCTCTCTCTATTTTTGGTCTTTAAAGCTACAGAAGAGAAGTGTACTAGCTTTGCTATTCAGAGCATTTTCCTTAGCAGCTGAATCCTGTGGGAGAGTCCTCTTAGAGCAGCTTTTCCCTGCAGTGGACTCTCCTGACAAGATCACAGAAGGCATTTGGTCTCCGAGTGTCATGGTGAACATATAGTTTGGTCTATTTTTACTTCTGAAATATGTTGAAAGATGCTATGGTGAGAAGAAGCAGTACAGTAAGATTTGGAAGCAGTCTATACATGGTAATGCTTTTGGGGACAGTATGCAGTTTCCTTCCATTTTCTGAAATTTCTTATGTATGTAAAACCTGAATTAGCATCAAGAAAATAGTAATGACTATTGATTTTCTCTTTGTGTACCAAAATTGAAGTTCTGTGCTTTATAGCTGCTCTGATATGTCCTTTTCAACTTTAGAATTTTCCAATAAAATAAATTCATTGTGGGAGTTACTGCTACTCTAAACAATTGAGAAGGAAAATAATAATATACCTTCAGCTATTTTGCCTTATTGACATTCTGTTTTTCACCCCTGTATTCTGCCCTGAGTGCTGGTATGATGTCAGAACAGCATTTCAAGGCATGAGAGAGAAAGTATTTTGACCTGAGAAGGTGGTTGGAGAAGTGCTTGAAAAAGTGGCTGAAACCTCAGCTGCTTTAACTACTGTTTATGGTGGGAATTGGGCAACCGACAGTTTTGACCAAATTATCCCTGGGTTTCGTATGTCTGTCACTTCACTGAGATTACAGACACCAGGTTTTGTTGTGAACTGTTTTGCCTGTGCAGTGTAATCAGGATCCTGGCTGGCAGACCTTTGTCAGACCTGCCACCCTTGCTGGTTCAGGAGGTGGCAGGTACCTGCTCAGCACACAGGTGCTGAGATGTCTCCTGTCATCTCCATGTCTTGCCACACTCTCTCAGCCACCACCAGCTTGCTGCATCCTTATGGCCTGTGGGGCTGGGTGCTGTGGATGTCATCTTGGCACTTGCAAAATGGATCAAGCTTGACTTGCTTGGGAGCAGAGCTGCTCTTTGCTCATGTTTTGGAAAGAAAGGGGTGGGATGTTGCTTGTTTAGCTCCTGGAGACAGCCAGTCCTTAGAAGATGACTGCTGGTAAGAGCTGTGATAATGAGGTAGAATGGTGATGTGATCTATTAATTTTTCTTTTTTTGTTGTTTTCTTCCACATTTCAGGAGGGGTGCTTGTGGCCTTCAGAAAGCTCGGTTTCACGCCAGGGTGCTTCAGAGGTACTGACAGATTTCTGACTATCTTCACTGCTCTCTTTTTCTTCCTGTAATGTATATTTGGTTCCTTTCAAAAACATGCATCTATTTTTTTTTAAAGAAAGCTTTTTCAGTGTAGTTCACACCATCATCTAAGCCCGCCTTAACACACATTTCATAAATTCCTGAGACCTTTTCATAAAAGAATGAAATTCTGCCTACCTGACACCTCATCTCCATCAGCAACTCCCTGTGTCATAGTAGGCATTCACAAGTAAGTGATGGAGGTGTGTCTCTTTCCCACAGCGACTCAGTAATTTGAGTATTCACTGGAAGCTGGGAGACCTGTTCCTCTTGTCTGTGAACCTTTCTTGGATTTACAACAATGTATCCTATCACCAGTGTCTTCATTTTTTCCAGATAGCACAGATCCCTTGTCTATGTAATAATTTGTAGGTCTATTGCTCTGAGTGGTCCAGCTGTCCTGTGACAAGCAGCAGAACTTCCTGGTGGTTGGTCCTGCATCTGTGAAGGTCAGGGGCTGAAGACCCCTGCAGGGATCCAAAAAAGAGAAGAGCAGTTTGATAGCTCTAGATCTGAGAAGCTGCTGTGTCTGTCCAGATTTGGGACAGACCAAGTGAGGAGCAATAGTACCCCACAGAGTATCTTGAATACTTCCTTTTGTAAAGCCTGTCCTTCTCCAGGGTTTAATATAGCAGGGACATACTTTCCATCACAATGCAGAAGCTTTGTAGGTTCTCCCCAGAGGCTGAGTTCTGGCTGAGAACTGAGGGGGAGGAGGAGACCTGATGCACTCTGATGGTGAAGGTGTGAGATACTCTGAGCCTTTACAAATGGTACTAAAATTACCATCTGCATTGTTTGGGAATGCATTATCTCTGAGTAAGAGGGAGAAGCTCAGACTACAGCTGAAAAGGACTATTGGGACATTGTAGGACTAGCCAATTACCCAGACTAGAGAGAATTAATTTCCTGGTTTCAGAAACAGAATAATTTGGGTTTGCTTGGAATGTTTTACTGTCAGGAGGACCTGTGTGGTCTTCTGCTTCCTTCGTGCAGCTGTTTTGGAGTGTGCTGGATCTTCCTGCACCTCCTGCCTCTTCACCTGCACGCATGTGGCCACACGTGTGCACGGTATCTGCTGGGTTTAACCTCTAAGACAGGTGGCAAAAAGAAGCATTTTGTGTTTCTTCAGTTCGTTGTGAGGACTGGAGCACCCGCAGCACTTTCTGCAGAGGTGGAGTCACACGTGTCTCTCTTCCCGTTTCAGATCATGTACGCCCCAAGGTCCAGGGACAGGTTTACCACCCCATCTTTTATGCAGCGGGACCGTTTCAGTCGCTTCCAGCCCACTTACCCTTACATGCAGCATGAGATTGACCTTCCTCCGACCATCTCCCTCTCCGACGGCGAGGAGCCACCGCCGTACCAGGGCCCGTGCACCCTGCAGCTCCGGGACCCCGAGCAGCAGATGGAGCTCAACCGGGAATCCGTCAGGGCGCCGCCCAACCGAACCATTTTTGATAGCGACTTGATAGACATCTCCATGTACAATGGGGGTCCCTGCCCACCCAGCAGCAATTCGGGCATAAGTGCAACCAACTACAGCAGTAATGGAAGGATGGAAGGACCACCCCCGACATACAGCGAGGTCATGGGGCATTACCCAGGCTCCTCTTTTTTCCATCACCAGCACAGCAACATGCCTCCTTCCTCACAGAGGGGGAGCAGACTTCAGTTTCAGCAGAACAATTCAGAGAGCACAATAGTCCCCAGCAAAGGCCAGGACCGGAAACCAGGAAACCTGGTCTAAGTTACCTGCCCAGGTGCGTTTGGACTGAAGACAGGAGATCCAAGCAGGGCGGCGGAGGAAGACCCCCGTGCTCCGGTGCACAGTGTTGTTACGTTTCACGTGGTACAACTGAGTAAAACCAAACGTGCAAACCAGTTCTTTGTTTCTGATTCCTTTCAGGGGAATTGCATGCAAAGCAGATTGAAAGAAATACAAACTTCCATTCAGTTTGTCTATGAGCAGTGTTTCAGGGGAAAGGGGGGGGATATATTATTTTTTTTAATAAACTATTTCAATTATTTAATTCTAAAAGTTAACTTAGCACAGAAATGAGGCTTGTACAGCCTGTTTTATACTCGCTGAATGGCAGAAGGAAGAAGGTGGTTTTGCTAGATAAATGGGGGAAGAATTGGCCAGTTTGCTTTTTTTTTTCTCCCAGAGTGTGAATTCTTTTAATATGGAACAAAATTCCTGTTCTGTGTGCCAAGGTATAAAGTTGAGAACTTAGAAGAATGCAAGGAATTAATTTGTGTTGTGATAAATGTGTTTTAAAAAGTTGCACTATCTTACTGTTTTAAAAAAAATATATATGAGGGAACTGTTTTATGTGAAGTTCTTCTATATGTTGTCGTTTCACCTGTGGAATAATGATAGAGCCCTAGAAGTAATCTGGAGGAGTTTACCCCCTCCCCCTGGGTTTGCTAAAAGATGGGGACAGGACTTAGCCTAACATCTCTTGACTTTTACAGTTCAATAAATACAGGGACACCTGTCTTTGCAATAATTTGCATTCAAATAGCAGTGTATCAATGAAGTGTCTTGGAGACTTTTGGATGGAAGAAGGCAAATACAAAATCCCAGCATTTTCCATCACTTAATGTTTAGCTATTTTGCAATGTAGACTATTTCTTTCATAAATGGCAAAACTACAATTCCAAGATGTGTTGGTTTATATTGATTCTAAGTGCTGCCATTCTTTTCCTTTTCATACTGCAGTATCACCAGTACTTACAGTTCTAGAGATTTTTGTCCTCACTGTAGCCTGAAATGTATTTAGTCACATATCATGACATTATGCAATAAATCGTTTGAAAATGCAGGGTGGGAATTTTTTCCCCTGCTCTGCTGTTCAAGACTGTGAGGCTGTTGTGGTTTTCGCTCTCCATTTCATCCTTTCAGATGCTGAAGTTCAGTCCTGGAGGTCTGTCCTGTTGAAGTGAAGGGGGCCCTTGTGGCTAAACCCCACCGTGGTGTTTCTGCAGCAGTACCAAGAGCGCTCGTGGCAGTGGTGCCAGCTCCTGCCACATCCCTGGCAGGGTCGTGGGAGCACCAGGAGTTCTCCCTGCAAACCATTTTGCTCTGGTTCCTGTTTCCACAACAGGGGTCCATGACGTCTGTGTGACGCCAGCAGGACTGTGCTCATGGGTAAAGGTGACTCATGTGTTCACCAAGTGTCTGTAAGCCCTGAGTTTTGCGATACTGGCCTGGAGGGTAGTTGGGAAGTGTTACCTGCCTGAGTCGTGGCATGTGGCGTGTTTCTCCACTGGCTGTTCCCATGTGGAAGCACGCGCGGTGCCAGAGCTCAGTTGACAAAAGGTGATAGTGGCATCACAAGCACATGAAAAAGCACAAATTGCACTTAAAATGCATTTTGGAAATGGACTTAAAAGTAAGAATCTTTAGAGTCTTAGCTTAAATAGTTTCTAATATATAGGTGTATGAGTGTGTCATAGACCTTTTTGCTTTAAGATCTTTCACTTCTTTCTGTTTTCCTGAGCCTTGTGCTTGGTGAGTGCCCCAGGGGCACCAATGCCCTGGTCCCATGGCTGGAGGCTGGATTTCTGCAGGACTTCTGTACACGAGGGACTCTGATAACTGAAGTGCATCTTTGATCTATGCAGAGTTTTAATGCCAAAACTGTGTGCATGTGTGTGTGTTTGTGTGTCTGCGTGCTTGTTGTCTTTTGGGCCTCAGTGTAGATTTGTTTTCTTCATAAGTTAATTTGATTTTATTCTGGTTTAGAAAACATTTGTGTAACTGTTAGTCTGAATACACAGCCCCATTTGTCTCTAATTGTTATTTTGGTCTGAGTCATGCTGGTAATGCAGAGTAAAGCTGCCTTTTATTGTATGTATTAATTGAAGGGAGAGATACAGATTGTATGGTGGGATTCACTTGGTTTTTTTTCTTCTCAGACCTACGGGACAGGTGTTTAGAAGATGACTAGGTGGCTTTCAGTCAGCTGGGGCTCTCATCATTGTCTGGTTCCTGGGAATAAAAGATGTGAAATTAGATTTTTGTAAACAACCTACTAACACAATTCTTAGTTAAAAACAACAAACAAAACCGAACCAGAGGACAAAGCCAGAAAATGTTGGTTTTGGTCTTCAGTGACTTCTGTCACTTGGGGAGTGAGCCTTTAAGCCAGAAAATGTGCCTACACAGATACTGTGCTGTTGCTTAAAAGAGGATTGTTTAGCCAAGAAGCCTTCAGCTACGAACAGTTGGAACTCAGTTGTCATGGCACAGCACACCTGAACTTGGCCCTGGGCTTGGGCTGGTCGAAGACCAACTTTCCCCATGTGCAGATCTCAGCAAAATGAGCCTTGAAGTTGCCTTCAAAGTCACCTCTTGGGAACGTTCTTTCTTTAAAAACAGCCCTTTGCCATCTTTTGCCCTCTCTGCATGCCAGTGGGTTTATGTACTTCCCATTAACATTGTCCAGTATACTGTCTCTTTTCTTTGCTGAGAAAAATTTTCTGCCTGGAAAATGTAGCCTTTTCCAATTCTTTAGAAAAGATTTGTTTAAAAATAACTTGGTATTTGCTCACCTAATAGTTGCATCTCCTCTTGCATCTTTTTATTCTCATCCTAGAATCATAGAATAAGTTGAGCTAGAAGGAACCCATTAGGATCATTGAATCCAGCTCCTGTCCCTGCACAGAGCCATCCCCAGGAGTCACACCATGTGCCTGAGAGGACTGTCCAAATGCTTCTTGAACTCTGTCAGGCTTGGTGCTCTGGGGGAGCTGTTCCAGTGCCCACCACCCTCTGGGGGAAGAATCTTTTTCTAATACCCAACCTGAACTGCCCCTGGCACAGCTTCCAGCCATTTCCTTGGATCCTGTCACCAGTCACCAGAGTGAGGAGATGAGTGCCTGCCCCTCTTCTTTTCCCCATGAGGAAGTTGTAACTACACTGAGGTCTCCCCTCGGTCTCCTCTGGGCTGGACAAGGAAAGTAAGCTCAGCCACTCATCTGGCTTCCCCTTGGGACCCTTCATCATCCTCATGCCCTTCTTTGGACACTCTCTAATGGCTTAATGTCATGCTCTGCTTTCCCAAATGTAGTGTGCAGACAGTACCTCTGAGCTCTGGGAGTGTAGTGGCTAGTTTACTTGCTGTAGGTGAGCTTGCAATCTTCTGTGTTGGGGCCTCTTTTAGCAGTAAATGGACTATTTTTTATGGATATTAGTACTCTCCAGTGAGAAGGCAGTCAACAGTGTAACATTGAAATACTTTGTTTTTCTATTTTTTCTTCTGTTGACTTGTTGAATTTGCTCTTGATAACAGAACAGAATGGTAAAAGAAATACCAGAAGTAGATATCACTATCAGTCCTTACAGGCTTAGAAATTTTGAGCTCTGAAGATAGGTAATTCTGTGAAGCATTTATAGAAGATAAGCTTTGAAAATACTCAGATTTGATAGACTGTATTCCAGAGCCACTCAGTGAAACTTTCTATAAATTATAAAAGATTTCTGCAAACATTGTAGCATTAATTGTCTAGATTTTGCCTCCATACTGATCTGGTGTATGTGTCTCATATACAAAGCCCACATATTATATGTGTGGTGTTTTCTATGTGATGGATCATATTTGCCTGAATTCTGGTTGCATCTTCTGACTCGTGTTCCCAAAATTCAGTATAGTGATGTCCCTACTTTAGAAATATTCAGGTTAAAAGATTATTTTTTCTTTTAAATGCAACTTTACGAAGTAAAGTTTTCTGACCTCTGTCCTACTGCAAAGACAGTACATGTCTTTCCCTTACATGTCTTTGCATGGCTCTCTTCTTGATGCTGAATATGCCCCATCTTTGGTGTTTGTGTGTGATCTTTCAGGGCTAGAAAAGGCAGGGGGTTTAGCAAAAGGAAAAAACTGGTTTCTCTCCCAGTTTACCAATGGAGCACTTGGCACTTATCTCTAATACTGTACCCATGTCTAGAACAATTGTGGTTGGGCTTTTCTCAGTGCTGGACAAGCAGACTGAGTGGGATGCTGCTTAAAAGATGTGAGTGAGGGGTAACCAGCCAACAGTGCAGTGTTCAGATCCCTTTCCTGGCGTGTGTGGCATGTGCAGAATTCACAGGAATTTGCGTAATAGGATGTTTTCATCGGGGGAATCTAATTATGCTGCTCCTGGTCTTGTCACTGATGAACTCTGCATGTAGGCCAGTCTTGGACTGGTGGGACTTTATTATAGCACCAATTTTCCTTGGAAGTATGAAAACTCAAGCATACGGCCCATGTACAAGTTCATGACTGCTAGTGAGGAAGATGTTTGCATTCCTGCACCCATGGAATCTGCAGGAGCCATGAGTGAAGCTGTGCTTCATTTGGCCTTTTTTTACCGCTTGACCACTTCTTACACGAGTTTGTCCCAGCTGGGAGCTGCTTCTGTTATGCCAAATCTCTGAATGTTCTTGTTGCAGATATACTTCTTTCCTAAAGTGTCATTGAGAGTTCTTGTGGTATTTTTTCCTGTGAATGGGGTACAGGAAAGGGTAGGGAGCAGAATTGCATTGTTTATTAAGGAATGCACTTCTTTGCAGTAGAGAAGAAATCCTTGTCCTGCTGGAGAGCCCCGTGTGGAGGCTGTCTGGAACAGAGCTGTCTGAGACGGTCGTTTCTAACCCTGCTGGGCAGTGAGATATTGGACCTTAAAACTGACACTCTAATCTGTAAGGAATGTTTTACTGCTTTGGAGAAGATTGATTGCTAGCCTTTCTCTGACTCTGTCTCTGAATGCTCACGGAAGCTAAGGTAACCTGACTTTGTAGGCAAGGAAAAACAAAATAGTAAGTTGGTGAAAATATCGATACGTCAAATTTTTTTTGTATATTTTCTTTTCCCCAAGGATAAACAATAGGTTTGTTGGCACATTTGAAAGTATTTAGGATTATTCACAGGTTCACTCTGGTCATTACAGTTAAGTCATGTCCATGCACTTACAGACCTGCATGCAGACTTGTCCCCTTGATTCTGTCTGTATTAGTTTCTATTCCATGATCACCTTCCAGAAGTGCTAAATGGCTCTCAGTAACAATGGCAGGTCATTTGTCAAACAACAGGAAGCCTGAGGAATATTTACTTTTGCTCCTGTAAATGTCATGACCTATGTTTTTATCAGTGGGGGCTTTCTTGCTGCACCAGTTCTTGCCTGTGAGCTGGTGCACTTGTGCATCTTCCATCCAAGAGCTCTCTCTCCTTTTGGGTGAGCTTTGAAAAATCTTCATGCTTTGGGATAACCCCAATGCAGACCTCGTGCATTGATGTACAGGAAGGAAGTAATACTTGGTGTACCCTAAATCTCATAAGCATGTTTTTTTCAGACCTAGCTGATGATGAGAACCAAGTGATCCTTTTGTGCAGTGGGTTCAGATGAAGTCTGGCTTTTGGTTACATCCTTGCTTTTTAGGTAAAGGTCGTCGCACATAATTTAATTAGACATATCTGGTTTCTCTGCACTTTGTTGCCTGCTTGCCAAGCAGTACAATTACAGCTTTTCTCCTACACTAGCCCCAAATGTGTCAGTCATTTCAGTCCCTGGAAAGAGGCAGTCTTACTGAGTTGTCTGAGACCTGTTGAGGCCTTTTAGAACACTGAATAGTCCCTTCTGAGGATGTGTTGAACTTAGAGAGGTTTCCCATCCAAAAACTGGTCAGTATGTTTCGTTAGGACATTCAAGTTTAAGGTTTTGAGAGTTTGCTGACTAATAACGTTGGCAGGATATTTTTTGTAGTTAATATATTGTTTGCCAGCCTATCCTCACTAATCAGGATGTAAATTACCTTCTGAGCCACCTCTGATTGCATTTTTGGGCTGGCAAAAGCCCCATTGAACACACTTGTACCAGCAAAAACAAAAGAGTACTTTTCTTAGTGCAGCTCTGGGGAATAAACAGAAGCTGCACATTAAGTTCATCCTCCAAAACCAACCTGAGACCTGCATTGCCTCTTCCCAGCAAACTGAAGTGTAGGTGTTTCAATGAAGTGCTTTGCTGCACTATTCAGTACCACAGACATGCAGTGGAGGGGCCTACTGATGTTTTCTTGAAATTGTAGTTGGCATTAAATGTATTTCAAGGATGCTAATGCTGTTTTGGTAACAACCCAGTACAATTCTGCTTTTGAAAGGGAAGATCAAGGACCATTTTGTGTCACAAACTCTCCTGGCTCTTACTTCTGCCTTGCTGTTGTCTCTTCTGTTTTTAGACTGAACACAAGCAACCCAGGTATTACTTGCATTGCTTTCTTGCTATAAACGAGCTTACCTTTTTATGTTGATTAATGATAGAAAAACAAAACTGTAACGTAGATATACTTCCCCTTCCCTCTGACAGACATGTGATTTACTGCCAGAGATGATGCTATTTTCTTTGCTATATTGCTGCTGCTGTTTCAAGTGGTTTGGTGTGTGAGCTTTCTGAAACAACATGGTGTGTGTAGGATCTCGTGGGTGACAAAGCTGTCTCTTCTCTTCTTCCTTTCTCTCCTTGGTTTGTGCTTGTCTGTCCGCTGTGGTAGGTTTACTAATAAATTAAATACATCCTTATTAGATATGATTTTGAGGAGGTTTGCATGTCTGTAGTTTGTAAGCAACTAAGGTGCCTCATGTTCAGGTCTGAGCAGATAGGAATCCCCTTGCACTCAAGGGCCTGATCCAAAGCCTGCTGAAGTTGGTAGGAAGACTCTTGCCAACTTCAGGGGGCTTTGCATCTGGCCTTGCACTCCCACCTTTGTTGTGCCTCACTTAAAATGGTGCTTTTTCAGTTGTCTCTTTTTTTTCTGTTTTTTTTTTTTTTTTTTTTTTTTNTTTTTTTTTTTTTTTTTCTTTGTATGGTGCTGTGTATAACTTGAATATATTATGCACATATCCTACCCAATGGGTAGAACAAACAAACATACAGAAACAAATAGATGTTGTTAATACTGTAAGATAGTGTACAGATGATACCAATTTTAACACAAAAAACGGCATAGACTTTGTGAATGCCAATCTGTGCTTGGTCCTTTTTTTGTAAGAAAGTTTGCAAATGAACGCATACAAATTACAAAAAGTCTATGTATTTTATTTTCCTATTAAATATCAATATAATATCATAAGGGAAAAAGGTTAAACAAATCCTTTTTGACAAGCCTGTGTATAGCAATTAGTTGTTCGATGCATCTTTGCTGTGAAGATTTCTTCTTTTTTTTTTTCTTTAATGTGTCACTTTAAAAAAAGGAAAAAAAAAAACCACAAAGCAAACAAAACCTCCACAGCTTTAACCTTGCAATTAGATGCTTCTTGTATTGGTTGTTGCCTTGCTATTGCTGAGTTGGAACAGTATTAGTTACTACTTCTCCAGCAGATACATTATTTAGTACTATCCTTGATTACCTTTTTTTTTTTTTAACTTAGAAATAGGCTAAAACTTTTCAAACCTTTTTAATCACATCCTAGATTTGAAATGAAGCTCAGACAGGTGGGAACTGAGCCAAACCATCCCTGCAAAATCAAAACCAGGCCAATGAGAGTTCTGTGACAACAGCCAACCTGTGCCCACTACTGGTGCACCATGCTACCACTACAGACTGTCCTTGGGCTTGGGGTGTGGATGGGCTCCCTGGTGACTTGTGCTCTTGCAGGGTGGACAGGAATGGCCCCACCTGGTAGCGAGCTGAATGCAGGGTTTGAGTGGGAGCTTTGAGTTGGCAGCTCTGCTGCTGTGTTGGCTTCTGATAGCAATGGCTTAACCCAGGTTCATATTTAAGGTCACAGAGAAATGCTTAGACCTGTTCAAACCCAATAGGGGAAGAGGTGTGGGAAGTAATGTTACACTTCAGCTTCCTGCCAGGCTGCCTTGGCAGTTTGATTCTCCTCCGGCATCTCCCTGTGTTTGGCGCTCCCTTCCCGTGCCCCTGCACGCTCTTTGGTAAAGCAAATACCTCAGGAAAACTCAACATGAAGTTCTAGTGTAGGGACTTGCAGATGCTGTACTTATTTTTCTAAACTCTTTGTTCTAACTATCCCAGTAGGTGATATAAAAGTTTATCAGTCCGAGACAGACTCGTCCTTTCCCAGATGGATACCAACTAATCTTTCATAGATACTCCTGTCTGTATGTAGCTTTTTTATACTTGCCAGGCTTTAACCACAGATGTAAGGTAGCAAGGTGTTGGGAGATGTTTGAGATGGTGTTTTGGTTTGGTTTTTCAGATGACTAGCAAAGCGCTGTGCTAAAACTCAGGGGGCCTTACCCGGGGCCAGTGAAATCAGTGGTGGGGCTTCCTCTGGTTTGAGTGGGCTTTCGACCCGGTCCATCACGCTGGAAGATGGTGCCTTGGGGCACAGTCCTTCACTGCTTCTCTGTCAATCTGAAGCATCTACACCTTTGTCTGTAAATAGCTTTTTAAAAGCCCTCACAGGAGTCCTGTATCTGAATGTTACCATGGTTGTTTCGGCTTTTTTTTTTCTGTTTTGTTTTAAAGAAGTGTGTTAAGTTTTTTATGGCCAGTTCTGCATCATCATGCCTATAGGTAGGTTGTATCATCACATCCTTCTATATGTTGAGCTGTTCTGTCAGTAAGCATGTACCATAGGTAAATACACATATTTTGTGATTGTCACTTGTTAATTCATTTATTGTTTGTCAGGGCGTGGAGTAATTGTTTTGGAAGTGTGCCTTGCCTGGCCATCTTCACATTTCTGTTTGCACTGCAGTACCACTTCTGTGCATGAAGGAAGAAAAGCAAACAAAAAACCCCGGGCCTTCACTAGGAAGACTGTACAGAGTAAACCTCCTGCTGGAGGAATCTAGAGTAGGATTTATCATAACAAAACATGCATACTGAGTGGACCAAACATGAGCATGACTTCTTTTAGAGGCACTAATTTGCTTTGAAGCTGCAGTGGAAAGAGCAGACTATCTGCTAAGTGTATTCACAGCTGTGTTCATGCTTTTCCATTTACCAGAAAGCACAGCAGGCAGCCAAGATTTTAAAAGGACTATGAGCAGAAGTTACGAGAGCCTCAGGCATCATAGACCTGGACAGCAAAAATAATGATGATAATAAAAATTTTTTAAAAATCACTTTAGTATTCTTTAACAAAGCTTTTCTACTCATAATATAAAGACTACATAAGCGTCGATAGGGGTTTTATCTTTGTATAACTCTCAACTGCCCAATGCTGCTGTGCTCAGAGCATTTCATGACGGTATATACATCAGTCAGGCTGTTACACTCAAAATTAATCATCAAATGCCTATTTTTAGAGTGTTACTCTTTCTTTGTTGTTTCTTGCTAGTTAATTTACAGTGTAAAATGCTTTATTGCTGTATGGATTTTAATTTTTTGTATTTCCAACATTGTGGCTTTCAAGATCACATTTTCAACACATCTATTATTTTTGTCCATTTTCTTTCAAACTATTCTGAAATATGTACAGCACTATCAACAATATTTAATCTTTCTTTTAAAATTTATTGTTGTAAAACAAAGCTATTAAAAACAGTAAGTCTTTTTACAACTGTATTGGAATTTCTCAATAGCTGTTCATGTGATGCTATGACAAACCTGGCTTGCTTTACTTTTGGGTTTTTTTAAATTTTATTTTCTGTTTAACACAATTAATTTGTTGCTTATTTTCCACCGTAACTCCCAGTTATATACAGAAAAAGGTTTCAAATGTTGTGTATCTGACTCTTTTAATTGAGCAAATGGTGATGTCCTAGTTTTTAGACCTAAGGTCTGTTTATTGCAATACTTTTAAAGGAAGATGTTGCTCTAAGTGCTGTTGTTAGTTTTAAATACAGATTTTATGCTTGTTCTTAATATGCTGTGGTTAAACCATGGCACAAAATTATTAAAAATTATTAAATGCATTTGTCTCCTGTTGGATTTATTTTCCCTTTGAAGTGAAAAAAACAAAAAAGCATGGAACACTAGAGGGGCTTTGGTAAAAATAAGTACTTGTGTTTTTCCCTTGCTGTTTTGCTGCTGGCAGGCAGGTAGCAGATCATTAAGGAATGAGAGAGGACCCAATCCTTGCAGCATTATGTGAGGGCCCGGGAAGTGGATGTCTGATGAGGGTTTAAGATCAGCGTTCTGCCCCTCACACTCTGGTGATTAATGCCGGGATGGTTTCTGCCCTGCCTCTGCCCTAAAATGGGCTGTGGCAGGAGACAGCCTGTCACACGCTGGAGTTAAGTCTAGGCTCTTAATCTAAGCCAGCTCGTGATTTCAATTCCTTTAAGATAACAACCCCACCTCCATCTCATTTAAAGCCCTGCTGGTGGTGTTAGCCTCTGGCACAGCAGTGCTGACTGACCAACGTGGGGGATAAGCAATGCCCCCAAAGCATTGAGTTGCAAAAATTCTTTTAAAAATGAAGGTGCAGAATATGGCTTGTGGGAGGGAGATCCACTACCTGCTTTAAGAAAGCTGGGAAATGCTTTGGGCAGTGCTTGAAACAAGAGCAGTTGTGATCCAGTAATGGGGAGAAGAGAGGGATGATGCTCTTAGAAAGAAACCAGATGAAAAGGTCCCATGAAACCACACAAGGATTTGTCTGGTAATACAGATCTTTGCAAGGTAGATCAAATTATCCCTGGCTGGCACCTGCCACTTTGCCGTACTAAAGCTTAACAAAACTGGGAAAGAGCAGGTAATTTCTGTTCATTCTGTGTATAAAGTGATGCTTTATTTACCATGATTATTAATAACATAGTTCTCTTGGCTTATATTTTATACCTGTGCTTGCTGGAGTTTGATGTCTATGTTGCTGCAATGTGATGCTGAGTCTGATACTTCAAACCTGGGGCTTTCTTGCAGGTCTTTTCCAGGAAGAGGTTTGCTGTGGGAACCATGGTCCATCCCACTTCTGACAGCCTGCTGTGGAGCTGCCTTTACATTCCACTCAGAGAGGAACCAGGGAGGTTCATTTTCCTGCTGTTCTTTTCAAACACCTTAGTTCTTTAAATGTTACAGTACTTATTTTAGGGTAAAAAGTAATCATATTTTTTTTCCTATTACCACCCTGAGTTTGCTCTCCTCCATCTGCAGCATTTTAATTCTTCTTTAGAATTTAGTCCTTAGAAGTACTCTAAATCTCCAAGCTTCTGCTCCTCCTCTACTGTCTGAACCCTGAACTCCCTGGAAACTGCATTTTTTGAGCCTGCTTTGATCTTTTACTTAATCTGGTTTTAATTGTATTTATATTTAGTTTATAATATGCCATTCTGTTTGATTGTGTTTTAATATCAGTGCCAATGGTTGCAACTCAGCTGTAAATGGGATGTCTCATCTCAGTAGGGTTACTTTTTTCTGCTGAAACATTAATATAGTGGCTGCTGCAGTCCTGTGAAACCTCTAGGTCTGGCTTCCAGGCTCCCAGCAGTATTGTGTCTCATTATAAACACCCTGTTCTTAACATCCCAGACCCTTTTCTTCCAAAGACCCCTCTGTAATGAGACTTCGTTACTTAGACAAAAATTAATTAGGCTTCTCTCATTATCACTGTTTTGATCGGTTGTGCTTTAAGTGAGTTCTAATTAAAATGCACATTTTAAAACCCTTACTGCTGAATCCTCTTGTAATAGCTTGCTTCTACTGAGGCGATGCCCTGCTTTTTGTGCAGTTTGCATTGTGCTGCTTGTGCAGAACTCTAGCATTGATAAAGAAAACTAAAAACTTGCATGATTTTTTTCTTTTGCTTGTTTTCTACATTTTTTTTTCCAGACTGGCTGCCAAATTATTGCTCCTGAGAGCCTGAGAATGGGGATTAGAGCTGAAACACTGAAGTCCTTACATGTGGTAAAATTGATGAGCTGAGTTTCTCAGCGTCCTGTATAGTCAGTAACCCTACTTGTTCCCAAAATGTTCCAAAATATAAGGGGGAAGCTATATGCTGCAGTTGTTACTTATTAACGGAAAATTTTGGCTTGCCTTAGGTGTTCCAAGTTGCCTTAAATACATTATTTATTTTGGCAGGACTGCATGGTGCATCCCAGGGATACCTGCCACATGCTAAGCCTGTCCACAGGCTGTTCTGCTATGGCTAGAGGGGGATATTTGAAGGCTGGCTCTCCTTAATAAAGGGGCTGATCTGTAAATCAGACAAAATATTTTGTATCCTTTAATGGTTTCCACTATGAAGTGTGCTGCAGAACGGCAGCAGAAAGGTGCTAAGTGTATTTTAAAGATGAGGAAACACACATGAAGAAGTAAATGCCAGGTCTCAGTGCAGCCTATGGCAATGCTGGGAGTAACCTTCCTATCACCACCATTCCCAGTCCCTCCACTTGTGAGGTACAGGTTCTCTTTGCTCACTTCCAACACATCCCACTGTTTTGTACAGAGCTATTTTCTGTTTGGCAGGGCTTTGAGCAAGCAGCCAGGACATAGCCATCCCTTGTTCAAAGAAAGAGGGCATCTTTTTCATGGAGGCCAAAATGCCACCCTTGAGCCCCTGTCAGTGCCAACACCAGATCATTCCAGCTTAATTTAACATTTGCAGACACTATAGTGATTGACAGTTGAGTTGAGTGGAAAATTCCAGTTTAATCCTTCTCTGTGTGCCACAGACATGGGCTCAGACAGCTTGACCTACATTTAACCCTGGGCAGCAAGAAATTCTTAGGGGAAAAGAAAAAAAAAGTCATTTTCATCTCAAAGCAGTGAGAACATTCCCACTTATTACATGTCCCTGTGCATATGCATACACGTGTAATTGTGTTACAGTGCTGGGAATATTTCATGAGCTGAGCCAAGTTTGCCCTGGTTGGCTTTACTTGGTGAAGAAGACATGTAAGTCAAATATAAAAGCACAAGTGTGCTTGCATTGCTGTTCAGCAGGGTTTATGGCAACAGCAAAAGGATAGGATCTAGTTCTTTCCTGACAATGGGGTTAGGATTGTAAGTGCTGTAAAATTCGCTTATGCTGCAAGCTTTATATCTCTTGGGGGAAAAGTTGATGAGCTGGTAACTTCAACTAATGTATTGTCAGGAAAAGCCTAACAGGAAAGGCTTGACTGAGGGACTGCAGAGTCAGTCTGGTTTCTTTGACCCCCCCCTGCTGCAGATCAAAGGTGCTGATAGTGACTGACTGTGTTTGTTTTGGGAAGCTACAGGTGCAGTACGGGGTGTCAAAGCTTTTCAGCGAGAGGTGCATTGGCAAACATGAAAAGCCCTGTGGCTGAGTGATAACTGCATTAGCTACTCAGCATGCAAGCCCTCTCACCTTCTACAGTCATGCTGTATATTATACCTATAGATAATACGCATGCTAGCTCCAGCCATATGCTAGGGCAATCAGGCACTTTACTGTAAAATTGTGCTCAGCCAGGGAAATGGCATCAGGTGCACTTAAATCACCACCTAACAGTGGCACAAAAGTGCCTGTCTGCAGTAAAACTATACTTGAGAATAAACTGTGCAGCTGTAGCTTGAGTGCTGCTTGTGCACTGGCACTTCTTTTTTTCTGAAGAAGATTGTCTGTATGTGAGTACATGCTGTGCAGAGGTGTCAGGGCTAGTGCACAGCAATCCAACAACAGAAAATACACTGTTAGTACATTAGGCAGAGCTTCGAGTACTCCTTCTATAAAATGACACTGTTCTCTTTATTTTCATGGCTTTTCTTGTCTCATCCGGGATAAAATCTTTATTCAGGGATTGAGCTAAGCATATCATTAATCATCAGTTAGCCAAGGCTGAGAAATTTCCCTTTCTCCACTACAATTCATACAAAGATCTCCTTCCCCACTAAAACACAGCTGCCACATCTGGGAGGTAGCTGGAGGCCACAGCTGTGTGCAGGCACCTGTTTTTGGAGGAAGGGTGCTCCAAGGCAGCTCTCAGGCAGTGCCTGGATAAAGAGCTGGTGCAAATGCACTGGTGGAAGTGCTTGACAGTGCCAGCTGAGGGGACTCAGCACCACTTACTGCAGAGTCTATTCAGCTGAAGGGCAAGCACAGCATCACTGCTCATCTCTGCCTGCTCTCATGTTCTCTCACATCCACATCCTTACAATATCTAGCAACTCTTTTTGTGCATGAACAAATCCATGTGAAATGATAACAAAAAAAGGATGCGAGGTAAACTTGCAGCTTGCATATTTAGAATTTCATGGTGGAGCTGGATTTTGTCTCCACCTGCTTTGTGACCCCAGATGAGAGGTCATCAGTAAGCACAAGGGCCAGCTCAAGGCAGTGTTCACAAGGAGCCTGCGCTGTCTCTCCGTGCCTGCCTTAGGTCACCAGGGCAGCCCACTGAAATTACCAGTGCTGGATCTGTTCCACTACCAGCCTCCCAGCAGTACAGTTTTCGTTCATATTAAATGTAGGATCCCAAATGTATTTCTGACGAATTCAGCATAGCATTTCAAGTGGAAATTACATCAATTTTATGACTTTATTCTGATTGCAAGAGTACATAAGATTCTTGATTCATCATGAGTTTGAGAGGAGGACACAGACTATTCGATACTTGACTGGTAATGGAGCTGACTTGAGAATGGTAGAATGTTTGGGCATTATTCCTAAAGAAGCCTGAATATCCTCCCCTGTGTTCCCTCCTCTCTGATTGTCCAATCAATTCATTAAACTCAAGCCCAAAGTTAACACTACATGTTACTCTGCGGGCTTTTGAAATCAAATCTTTCTACTTAAGAAGATCATAAAAATAGTCAGCTAATTGCCAGGGGATAATTAAAATTCTCTAATTATTATTGTTGCTGATGGTAAATGATGAACAAGGATAAAATGATGCAATGCCCTAAGCTGACACCCTGAAGGGGACACATCAGAAGAATTTGTTTCAACTTTGGCTCCAGCACCATCCTGAGTCACTGTTTTTGCTCTGGCCTGTTACCAGGTCACAGCTTTGGCTCCAGCTCTGCTCAAAAGGCTCAGCTGCACCTTCAGCTTAGGCACTAATTTCAACTGTGACTGGCTCTGGTCTTTGTTCAGGCCATTATTTTGACTGGCCCCATTTTCACTATTGCTTCAACTCTGGCCGTTGTTTAGGCCAAGATTTCAGCTCCTTTTGGGCTGAGACTTCAGCGGTTCCCCTGTCAGGCTCTGACTTTGGTTCTGGGCCCATCTTGGGCCATGATTTTGACTCTGGGTTCTGCTCAGGATATGAATTCAGATTTGGCCTTTATTGAGCTGCCGTTTTCACTCGGCTCCATCTTGGTCTTTTTCTCATCTTTGGAAGCCTTTTCTCCTGCCTGTTTCAGGCCAATACTTGAGTGCCAGCCCAGTGTTGGTCATTGGTTTGGCTCTGACTGTATATCACTCTTTGAGCTGGGTTCCAGCCCCAGCTCCTTGGCCCTGTCCCATCATCTCCAACTTGGTATCAGGCTTCAGTTCTGGCCCTTGGCTGGGCTGTGATTTTGGCTCTGGTACCACCAGGCTGTGACTGCAGATCTGACCTCTGTTCAGGATGTGAGTGGAGATCAGGAGCCACCTTGGGCCTCCATCATTTCTCCAGCCTCATCTTTGGCAACAGCTGCAGCTCCAGGACCCATCCTGAGTCACAACTTTGATTCTTGTCCCATCTTGGCTCACGAGCTTGCCCCCAGCCTGACACAGGGCTCTGACTCCAGCTCCAGCTCAGGCTCCCATGTCTGCTCTGCCCCGCTTAGTCTCTGCTCTGTCCTTCTTGGTTTATGACTTTGGGTCTGGCCTGACATGGGGCAGCAACTTTGGCTCTGATCCCTGCTTGGGCTGTGACTGGCACCAGATTGAGCTGTTAACCTCAGCTTTGCAGAGATATTGGAGTGAGACTTTATCTCCTCACATCTATGGCAGCAATTTGAGCTCTGGCTCACTTTAGGCTGGTACTGCAGCTCTGGCTCAACACTGGGTCAAGATTTTTGTGTCAGCCTCATCTTTGGCTGTAACTTTGGCTCTGGCCATTGTCCAGGTGGCTGCTTTGGGTCTACCCAGGCCTTGGGTCTAAAGCCTCCTCAGGAGGCTGCTGTGACTTGGCCACTGTTTGGGCCATGGCTTTGGCTTTGGCCCCATCTTGGCTTGTGATTTTGTCTCCAGCCACATCTTCATCTGCAACTTTTGCTTAAGCTATTGCTCAGGCCACAAATTTGACTTCATTGCCATCTTGGGCTCCAGCTTTGTCTTTGATTGCAGTTTTGGTTCTGGATTGTTATTGGGCTGTGACTTAATCTCTGGCCTGATATTGGCCAGATGCTTTGCCAACAGCTTGATGGTAGATCACAGCTTTGACTCTGGCCCTGACTGGGAGGCTATTACAGCTCTTATTTGGGCTGCTACTTCAGCTTCAGTCCTGTGTCATGCTGTGACCTAGACTCTGGCCACCTGAACATCTTTGTCTCTGCTTTGATACTTGGTTGCAACTTTGCCTTTGGTCCCTGCATGGTTCATGACTTCTGCTTTATCCCATTTCAGGCTGCAACTTTTGCTTCTTGGGCAGTGATTTCAGCCCTGTTCCCTGTTCAATGACTGGTGGCTATTTTTGAGCCATGTCCACTGTGAGGACCTGAGTTTGGCTCAGTTTTTGGATCAGGGCTTCAACTCTGGTCCCTGCTCCAGCCCCAGTGAGGATCATGGCTTCTGCTTCAGTCCCATATTGAGCTGTGACTTTGGCTCTGGCCACAGTCTATTTTTACCAGGTTGCTATTGCAGCTGCAGTACCTGTTTGTCTGTGACTGTGGCTAGGGCTGGATAGCAGGTTGTGGATGTGGCTGTAGCTCCATGGTCTGTGGCTTCATCTCAGTGGCACTTCTGGGCATGATTTCAGCTCTAGCACAATACTTGGCTGTGAATTTGATGCCTGGAGAGGTTACCTAGAACCGAAGCTAGACAGAGTAAGAGAAATAAAATAAGTATTGATTAAAAAGGCCTCCAAAGTTTACACCTTGGGCAGTAAAAGAGTCTGGCTGAGGCTACACCCAATTTGGACAATGATTTTCACACTTTCATAAGTTGTTTTTTTTTTTTCCCATGAATTTTCACAATTGTATGAGTTTTATAATCTGCATATTGGGGTTAATTGTCCAGTTAGAGCTTCAAGTTATGAAGTCCCATCCTCTCAGTTTGTTGCTCCCACCCCCAGCCCAATTTGCTTTTGTTTATACAT